GTTGAATATGTTGAATATGTTCTAGGAAGAACTAATTGAATATAGAAACATAGAAACAGAGTGAGTCAGAAGGGGCCTCCCGGGCCATCTAGTTTGACCTCCGGGACCAGCCGGCTCCGCTCACGACATGCCCACCAGGTAGACGTCAAGCCTATCCTTGAACTGAGGCACTGATGGGGCCTCAACGACCTCTCGTGGAAGCCCATTCCACACCCTCGGGGTCCTGACTGTCAGGAAATGCTTCCTGGCATCCAAATGGAACCTTGGCTCCCTGAGCTTTGCTCCGTTGGAGCACTTCCTGCCTTCCTCTGCAGGGGAGAACAGATCTCTACCACTCTCCATGTGACATCCCCTCACATACCTGTGTGTCACCAACAGCTCCCCTCTGAGTCTCCTCTTCTCCAGGCTGAAGAGACCCAGTTCCCTCAGTCTCGCCTCATACCTCATCCCCTGCAAACTGGCCACCAACCTTGTGGCCCTACGCTGCACTGACTCTAACCTGGCTATATCCTTTCTGTAATGAGGGGCCCAAAACTGAGCACAATATTCCAGTTGCGGGTGCACCAGAGTCGTATAGAGTGGTAGTAATGCCTCTCTTGATCTAGAAGCCACACTTCTGGCTCTCCAACCAAGGGTGGCATTCACCCTCTTGACCACCGCATCACACTGCTGACTCATGTTTAGCCTGCAGTCAACCAGCACCCCGAGGTCCCTTTCACAGGTGCTGCTCTCCAGCCACTTGTCACCTAACCTGTACTTATGACAGCTATTCCTATGCCCCAAGTGCAAGACCTTGCACTTATCCACATTGAACACCATCCTGTTGTCTCCTGCCCACTACCATAGTCTGTCCAGATCCATTTGGAGTACCTGATCCTCAGTTGTGGCCACTGCTCCAGTTTTAGTGTTGTCTGCGAATTTGATCAGCATACTGTTCACCCCTTCTTCCATGTCATTAATGAAAAGATTAAACAGGATCGGCCCCAGGACAGAGCCCTGGGGGACCCTACTTGTCACTGGCCACAGTCCTGATGATTCCCCGCTAATGGTTACCTTCTGCTTTCAGTCAGTCAACCGGAAAGTGCTAATCCACCGGACAGTGCTTTGGTGTATCCCAAAACTCCTCAGTTTCTCCACCAGGATATCATAGGACACTTTGTCAAAGGCCTTGCTGAAATCCAGGTATATCACATCCACTGCATCGCCTCCGTCTAGCCATCTCAAAACCTTGTCATAGAATTCCACAAGGTTTTTTCTGGCAGGACCTGTTTTTGCAGAAACCGTGTTATGTGGCCATCAGCCTCCCTTCCCTATCTAGCATCACTAGATCTCTATTATAAGCCTTTCCATTGTTTTTCCTACAATGGACGTAAGGCTAACAGGTCTATAATTCCCCATGTCCCTTCTACTACCCTACATTGGGACCACTGATGCCACCCTCCAGTCCTCTGGAACTTCACCTGTTCTCCACGAGGTCTCAAAAATGGAGGCCAGCGGGTGTGAGAGAACCCCTGTCAACTCTCTAAGTACTCTCGGGTGTAACCTGTCATGGCCTGGTGCCTTTGTAATGCCCTGAGGAGCCCCTCAACTTCGAGGGGGGGTGACTCTAATCTGTGCCCCTAAGTCCCCAGCCTCATCTAATCTCCTATGCGGATATCCCCCATCCTGCTATGGGGAGAACACAGAGGCAAAATAGTCATTTAGCACCTGTGCCTGTTCCTTCATATCAGTCACTGGATCTCCTTCCTCCTTATTTAGTGGTCCCACCACTTGTCTCCCCTTCCTCTTCCTATTTACATGCTGAAAGAAGCCCTTTTTGTTGCTCGATATTCTTGGCAAGTCTCAGCTCGTAATCAGCCTTAGCCTTGTGAAGAATCCTTCTGCAACGGGCCTCCTCCTCCCGGTATACCCTTTTGTCTATTTGCCCCAGTACCCATTTCCTACGGAGGTTCCTCTTTCATCTAATCCCTCTAACCACCTCCTTTCGCATCCATGGCGGCCATATGCTCTCATATCTTTCTCAACATTGCATGCTTGGAGCAGAGGATCATCAAAGGATAAAATCTGAGTCAGAAAAATGGCTAGCAGAGAAAGGGTTATCCCCCAACTCATCTTCCTCCTTCTGCTCCTGAATACCAGTGCCAACTCCAGATTTTTGTGGCCTCCCCCTCAGTGAGCCTGCCTGTTCACCTCCATCTCCTTCATCTGCCATTGCTCTACATCTTCTTTCCCATCATTGAGTTGTTTAACACTGAGTTGCTTAACAGTCAGAAAGCAAAACAAGTAGTCAGTGGCAACTACATTTTCTTGTCCCCATCAACACATGATCTAGGGCAGAATGAGAGGAAGGACAAAGAGTAGACAGCATGTATGAAGAGAGGTAACTCCAGGGAGCTGTGGTTAGTGGGCCCCTGGATGTGAACCCACAATTAGTTTCTAACCATGCCTCCTCTTAATGCTGACCCATTAAAGACTATCTCCTGGTCCTACTTGCCTCTGGAGAGGAGCATTTGTGAAAGGGATCTCAGGGTTCCAGTTGACTGCAGGCTAAACATGAGTCAGCAGTGTAACATAGCAGTCAAGAGGGCGAACGCCACTCTTGGTTGCATAGCCAGAGGCGTGACTTCTAGATCAAGCGAAGTAATACTGCTACTTTATACAACTCTGGTACACCTGCAAGTGCAGTATTGTGTTCAGTTCTAGGCTCCACATTACAGAAAGGATATTGCCAGGTTAGAATTGGTGCAGTGTGGGGCCAAAAGGATTGCAGAGAAAGCTATATGAGAGACTGAGGGACTAGGTCTTTTCAGCTTGGAGAAGAGGAGACTCCAAGGGGATCTGTTGGTCACATATAGGTATGTGGGGGGGGGGGGTGTCACATAGAGGTGGGTAGAGGTCTGTTTTCCCCTGCAGAGGTGGGCAAGGTGTGCTCCAACAGAGCAAAGCTCAGGGAACCAAGGTTCAATTTAGATGTCAGGAACTACTTCCTGACAGTCGGGTCCCATGGAATGGGCTTCCATGGGAGGTGGTTGAGGTCTCATTGGTGAGGGTGTTCAAGGATAGACTAGAGATGCACATGGTGGGCATGTCATGAGCGGAGCCGACTGGAGCCGTGGGTCAGACTAGATGGCCCGGGAGTTCACTTCTGACTTGCTCTGTTTCTATGTTTTTATTGCCTGTTGTCATCTTCATTTCCTGATCAGCTGTGTCACATTTTGCACGTCATCTCTGGAATGCCTCTTCTGTATTGAAGAACTTTACTAAGGAGTCTGGTTATCTTATGCTAGCATTCTTCATCCCAGTTACATGTGCAAACATGTCTCTTTCATGTGCATGTCATATACACTCACCCATGTAACAGCATGCTCATTAGCAATCTTGTCCCAGTGTACAGGCAGTGCAGGTGGTCATTTGGGATGCTGAAAAATTCAGGCTGCATTAGTGAAGAAGCTATGCTTCTTCTTGTGTAGAAGATGCTGTTGAAATCAGCTGTTAAAGACTGAGTCTTCTGTCCTACACTTACTTACTTAGTAGTAAAGTAAATTTAACTTCTCTTTAAGTCACAATACTTACTCCTGGGTAGACATGTATACGATTGCGCTGTAAGACTTTTAACTAGTCTACATGGCTCTTAATTTGAATGTTATATCTAAATACAACACCTCTCATAAAACAGCCTTTCTTTCTCAGGATCTTGCCTTTTCTCACCAAATCTGGAAAGGCAAGTGAATTAATATTAATAGTCAGAAAAGCTGTAAGTAGAAAGTAATGCATTGGGAAGAAAGCTGGTGGCGAGGGCACTGATGTAAGAGTAGAGGTAAGGCTTGCTTGGGTGCAAGAAGTAGGGTGCCTTCATGATCTTGCCAGCTTCTATGAGTTTATGCAAATTATCTGTAATAAGGAATAATGCATATTTCCTTGATAATCCTACATTTAGGACTGAGTTGCTTTCACATAGTACCTGTTGCAATCTGGGAGATAGTCCAGGGGAAATGACATTTGCATAACAAATATTTAATATCATTACTGTGATATTTAATCCAGTAATGGAGCTACCACAAATTTCCCAAAGTATCCAAAGTCATCCCAAGGCCACATTTACATAGTATCATTAAAATATGGCCCTATATGACTGATACAAAGAATAGTTGGGAGTAGAAACTGATAATGATTCACTTGTATGGATGGACTGCAGCCACTCTATATCTGAATCATCATGTAATACAAGTTTTTGATAATGTTTTCTGGGGATATCCCTGGGCTTTCCAGGCAGGTTTTGTTCAGGCAGGATGAAATGTGACTTTTTATTACTCCTAATATAGAATCAGGCCCAAGACATCTGTCCACTACAGCTGAGACATGTAAGTACGGAGGTAGTAGATTCTACTTTTCATCCACCACTAGGAGGCACATGATTCCTATTCAATAATCCTCAGGTAGTCAGTTTTTTAAAGACATTATTACATTCACACTCTCTCCAAAATAGATAAATGTACAGCTTGGAGTGGGAAGGAAATAGTTTAAGATATCATTTCATGATGGTCTGTTGTTTAGCAGGAAAACATATTCAAATCAGGAGGAAATACATTGTGCTGGAAGTGAGAAGAAATTTATGATAAGTGAATCTGAGTACACTTAGTTGTGAGTAGAATTAGGCAGTCTATTGTAAAGTTTATATCCCACTTTATACAAGTATTTTCCACAAGGGAGTTTAAAAGCCTGTTGCTGGAGATCATCGGGACATATCTATTGAAACCAGTGAGATGCTACACTGATTTAACTTGCTTCAGGATATCAGCCTTTAATTATATTTTTTTTAAAGATGAAAAATCTGTTTGTTTTAATGAAGGCCAATCTGGGGTTCACTTAATTCAGTGACTAATATCGGTTGGGTACAAAACAGGCTCTTCCCTTATTCACTATAATGGTGACATTAAAGAATTTTGCATTAAACAAAGAACCCAAGCTAATAAGACAAACTACTGAACAATTATGAGAGCTCGGTCTAAGTCATGCTTTCATTTATTCACTTCATATAAAAATCTCTTAAGAATGCATCTGGACACAATATATAATACTATAACAACATACATTGTGTGAAAATTTGAAACAATAAAATAACCACCTGGAACAATGCAGAGTTCAACAGACATACAAACCCACTGACCATGCACAAATGTGCTATTTTTATCAACTAGTTAGTCACAAATTGGATTGAAAGCTTGAAATATTGTTTTACTAACTGAAACTGGCACAATATACATGCCTAACAAGCTTTGTTGAAAAAGGTTTCACAGCACAATTATAACATCAGTTCACATTTTGTCTTATAAATTCACATTGGTTTGTTCATAAACTGGAAATAACACTTAAAATTTGTGACATTACTAGGTATTTTTTCAGTAGCTTCGTATCATCTGAACGTATCATCTAAATCTCTCTCAGTCACCAACAATGATGATTTCCCAGATCCAACAGAAAATGAAACCCCTGTGACCCAATGCCACGTGAATGCCCTCTCTAGGTTTCCTATGTCTATTTTAAGCTAAGTTCAGGTTCATTTATTTTATGCAATACAAAAAAAATTACATGAAAGGCGACTCTTATTCAGAGTCTTCTACACAAATAGCATCACCACTGACAGGTAATGTTAATTTTTATAAATTAATACTTACAAAACATTACATTATATACATTAAGTAATAAATACCCTGTTATAAACAGTACTGGACATGTTAGAGCTCAAGGCAGTTGCAGGAGAAAAAAGGGGACTAAACTTAATGACATGAACTATGCAAGGAGAAGAATTCAGAAGGGGCAAGCTTACAATTTCTACTGAGTTTAAAGAACTAAAAACACTACAAGGGTAGAATGTACATCACACTAATTCAGTATGCCAGTTTTCACGTGTGCTATATTGTGTTATGAAAACACAAAGCTACATGTTTTCCTGTGCACAAAAAATGTCAAAAACAGTTGAGTGAAGAATACCGTTTTCAGGAGCAAGCAAATAGAAGAGCTACACAGGGGCTGCAAGACAGATAAAATAGCCAATGATGCAAGAAGTGGAGCACGCTGCTCTACTTAGTGAGTCAAAGTGATTAAACTTCAATACAGTAACACATATTGCCCATAAAAAGGAAGACTTTTTTCATTAAAACTGGAATAATTAAAATACTTCAATATCAAACACATTTTGTTGTTGTCTATTTAGTAGGCTTCTCAAAAAGACATGGAAGTATTTATAAAAAAGGCACAAGGGTCTGCAGACAGGTGGACAAGTTTTAAATTCAGAGTTATGAATCAGTAGTTTTAGCTGTTGGGCCTACTAAAGGTTGCAAAATCTCTTAGGAATAGAAAAGATTTCTGTTATGTGTCACTCAGCATTAGGCTTACTCAGTAACAACTCACTCTGGCTCCAAACCACCACAATCATTTTTTTTTTTTTTTGGCTGACAAAGCTTAAACTGCAATGTAAATCACCTGTTAATTTCCTGAGCAGTCATTACACACTCCTTAACCCTGACTCCAATCTTAAGGCGCTGGTAAGGTCTTTTAGCCAATGCTGGTTGGATGTTGGCTGAAGACCTAAACGTCAGGTTTGTCAGTGAGACAACCTTCACATACATTAAGGATTTAAATTTACCAATATGGATACACTGCATTAAGTATCACTAGGCAATGTATCATCTGCCAGAATTTTTATATTGACTCCCCTTTGGGAATCCCTTTTCCCCGGATCAATCACACAGAGTGTCTTTGTACCGCTGAAATAGCTGATATTATCACTATCTTTCTCAGGGCTGTCGGAATCCTCCTCTTCAAGGGTAAGCTCAAACTGGAACTTCTCCATCAGACTCTGACAGTCTCTGTTGCGTTCCTCAAGGGGAGGAGAGGGACTCTGAGGGATCATGCTCTGGTACCAGTTCCTATTATCTTCCAGGGTATCCAGGATATCCTGGGCATCAGGCTGCACTAGATCTGCCCACGTCTCCCAAAGTGGGTGGACAATATAATCAATGAACCCAACCTGTGAAACAACAATAAGTAATTATCACGACTCTGAATTCTAAACTAGAAGCACACTTCTATCATTTTATTAGACATATATATGAATCCCACCTCTGCCCAAACGGTGCTGAAGGCTGAAAATCAGAAATAAAATTTGTATAATACAATTGTACAGTTTATACAAATCAGATAAACCAACAGCTGTACACTAATACACCCAAACAATGAACTAAAAACGAATGCAGAGATTTTCTGTAAGATAAAACAAGGAAAACACTGAAATCCATTGATTCTGATAGAATAATGCAAACTTCATTGCCAGACTGAAACATGTAAAAAAGGAGACTACCACAAAAAATGATGCCCCAAGTCCTGTATCAGCCAACTACAGTGGTACCTTGGTTCATGACAGTCTCAGTTCACAACCAAATCAGTTCACAAACAAAAATTTCAGAAAAATTTTGCCTCCATTTGCGAGTTCCACTTCGGGTGATGACCACAATCATGGCCATGTTCTTGCACAAACATGATGGCAATTGTGGCCATCTTCCCCACACGAGCATGATCGCGATCGTGCCCATCTTCTCCGCTCGCAGTTGCAGACAGACCTGTGGTCACCTGCTGTGAAACTTTTTTGTGTGCTTTTTAGCACATAAAGTACTGTAAAGTATTATTCAATAATAATATTGATGATGAGGATGATGATGATATATTGAATAATGGCTCCAAAGAAAGTGCAAGGCAAGCATGGTGGTAAAAAGAATGTGCAGAGCAGTAATGAAGGTGACCAGAATGTGCAGATTTTTTGCCAAAATTTACCCTGCAGCTAAGAGACAAAGAAGAAAGGAAACCCCAGAAAGAGATCTCCCCAATGTCCTTATGGAGGGGACTCTGCCTCCAAACAATAATCTCCCTCCCCCAACTAGGTTAGTGTTCTCTACTGTACTGTATGCTGTTACTTTGTTGTTCTTTGTTACTTTGTTTCAAATTTTCGTGATTAAAAAAGAAATATTTACAGAACAGATTAACCTTATTTATGAACCTCATGGGCAAATTTGACTTGGTTTGCGACCAAAATTGGTTCACTTCCCTGTTCGTAGGGGTCAGAATGCATTAAACTTATTTACATTGAACCTTATGTGGGAATTTGACTTGGTTCGTGACCAATTCGGGTCACAACCAGAACCGTGGAATGAATTAAGTTTGTGAACTAAGGTACCACTGCATGCCTGAAGGATACTATATAGTAAGTAGTTATAGTTCCCTATGATTTCCGGACTCAAAGAACTTGGTTTGTTTCAGTATCTAGCTAGTGAGAGCAAACCAGGTTAGCCACAAAGATTCTTTAAGCAGCAACCATAAAGTAAAAGTTCAACTTTTTTCACTCACAGCCTTTGAAGGAAATGGGACAAACTATTTAATATACTTACGTAATATAGCTTTGCTTTCAAAAATCACAGTTACAAAGTTTAAAAAGGCTTTTTAGGTTAAGGTTAGCAAAACCATATGAATTTATGGTGACAAGGACCTACTACCACATAGATGACTTAGTAGTTAATAGGTTATTAGGATATAATTCATGTAAGCCAGGTATGATAATTAGAGAATAAATGCTTGCCAGTGGGGTTATCATTCCCATTTATCCTGACTAGAATTAGCATGTCATATATACCTTGGAAAACTCAAGAGTGGCCACAGGACTGGAAAAGGTCAGTTTACATTCCAATCCCAAAGAAGGGCAATGCCAAACAATGTTCAAACTACTTGCATTGCACTCATTTCACATGCTAGCAAAGTTATGCTCATAATCTTACAAGCTAGGCTCCAGCAGTATGTGGACTGAGAAATACCAGAAGTACAGGCAGGGCTTTGAAGAGGCAGAGATCAAATTGTCAAATTGTCAACTAAAGATCAAATTGTCAACATACATTGGATCATGGAGAAAGCTAGAGAGTTCCAGAAAAATATTTACTTCTGCTTCATTGACTATTGTAAAGCCTTTGATTGCATGGATCACAACAAATTGTGGCAAGTTCTTAAAGAGATGGGAGTACCAGACCATCTTATTAGTCTCTTGAGAAACCTATAAGTGGGTCAAGAAGCAACAGTGAGAACTGGACATGTAACCACTGATTGGTTCAAAAGTGGGAAAGGAGTATGGCTAGACTGTATATTGTCACCCTGCCTATTTAATTTATAAATTAAGAGCACATCATGCAAATGGCCAGGCTAGATAAATCACAAGTTGGAATTAAGATTGCCGGGAGAAATATTAACAACCTCAGATATGCAGATGATACCACTCTCATGGCAGAAAGTGAAGAAGAACTAAAGAGTGTCTTAATGCGGGTGAAAGAGGAGGGTGCAAAAGTTGGCTTGAAACTCAGCATTAAGAAAACTAAGATCATGGCATCCTGTCCTATCACTTCCTGGCAAATAAATGGGGAAGAAATTGAGGTAGTGACAGATTTTATCTTCCTGGGCTCCAAGATCACTGAAGACGGGGACTGCAGCCAAGAAATTAAAAGACGTTTGCTCCTTGGGAGGAAAGTTATGGCAAATCTAGACAGCATACTAAAAAGCAGAGCCATCACCCTGCTGGCAAAAGTTTGTATAGTCAAAGCTATGGTTTTCCCAGTTGCAATGTATGGCTGTGAAAGCTGGACCATAAGGAAGGCAGAGCGCTGAAGAATTGAGGCCTTTGGACTGCTTAGAGGAGATCAACCCTGACTGCTCTTTAGAAGGCCAGATACTGAAGATGAAATTCAAATACTTTGGCCACTTAATGAGAAGGAAGGACTCACTTGAGAAGAACCTAATGCTGGGAACAATAGATGACAAAAGAAGAAGGGGACAGCAGAGAATGAGGTGGCTAGATGGAGTCACTTAAGCAGTCGGTGTGAGCTTAGGGGGACTCCGAGGGATGGTGGAGGACAGGAGAGCCTGGAGGAATTTTGTCCATGGGGATGCAGTGGGTTGGACATGACCTCACAACTAACATAACATAAGCTCTGAGTTAGATTACTTCTCAGGTCCTTAACAAACAGGAAGCAAGGAACAGAGAAAACTGAATGGCTATGCAGGCTAAGGGAAAATCTGCTTGGCCAGAGTTTGTCACTTAAGTTCAAAAGCTGTTGGATGGCAATTCTATGGGACAGGGAAATGGCTTTCAAAGGAGCACACCTTAGTGCTAGGATGTTTTGTTTGGAAATCCCATTTGCCATCTTTGGACTCAACAGGATGTTGAACAAGCCATTATAATTCTATTGTAACAGCTTTAGCCAAAATGTTATGAACATTTGCTGCAGCCTGGGCTTCTTGGCTTTGCCCGACCTCTTTGGCACTTCACATTCATAAACACCACCAGAAACCCAGTTTTTAAACTATGTTGCAAATGAATTTGCTCAGGGGACAGCTTACATGAGAAAAACATAGGGACTTTTTAAAAATCCATTTTGGATTGCAAATTATATAATTTAATCTATTTGCCTTATCACTGTGTTCAATCATTTTATTCATTATTAATACTAATTAAATAATTTTTATAAGGAATTCAAGGTTGGGGAAAGATATTGGCCAAAGATCACCCAATGAGTTGACCGGGATATAAACTGGTTCTGTAGTCCAAGTTCCAACACTTTACCCTGCCTGGTGCCAACTAGCCCAACTCAAGATATTGTGGATATCATCTCCAGTTAGCCTCAGCCAGCATGGTCAGTGCTCAGGAATCTTGGAAGTTGTAGCTCAAAACATTTAGGGACACTAAGCCGGATGAGGCTGGTATAGCTAATATACAAAAATGGCACCCATTTAGAATATATATATAAAGGATGATTTCCCTACAAAACAAAAAGCAAATGCAAGCAGAACATTTTCTGATGTCAGCCAACACAGCCATTCATATTAACCTGCTCCAACCAGTGGGAGTATCACCACATAACCTAGGCCCTGGCTGAATACAACTGCCCAGGGTGAGAGATACTGGTGGGTCTTGCTTGCCTTTCCTTTTCCTGTTTCTATTTTTTTCTTCTTTGATTTTTTTGCCTCACAGATTTCAGAACCTCCCAGCTCCCACCACTGGCTTTGATTACAACTGGAGATCTAGTCCTGGGTGCAATCTTGGGCTCCCACTAAATCCAACATATCCAAAGGAAAAGCCATAAGAAAAGCCATTGCTGGACCCATACATATGGTAGCAGACCAGGTGCTCATAGGATCCCTCAACCAGAATGAGTGCAAGACCTCCACCTGCTCAAGTTCTGCAGCAACTGATGTATGCAGTCACAACACCTCTGTTAAAGGAGGCAGCACATAGCCAGCAAGGCTAGTAGCCACTGATAGCCTCCTCCTCCACATATCTGTCCAATCCCTTTTTAAAGCCATCTAAATTGGTGACCATCACCACTTCCTGTGGCAGTAAATTACATAGTTTAACTAAATGTTGCATGCGGAAGTACTTTTTATCTGTCTGAAACCTCCTACCAATCAGCTTCATGGGACAACTCCAGATTTGGGTGTTTTAGGAGAGGTAGAAAAATCTATCCTTCTCCACTTTCTCCATACCATGCATTATTTTAAACACTTCTACCATGTCTCCCCTTTCTCCCCTTTCCTCTATGCTGAACAGTCCCAGTTGTTGTAGCTGCCTCTCATCAACCTTCTGTCAACCTTGAGTATTTTTCAATCTATGCAAAAACACCTTGATCATTTTTGTGCCCCTTTCTGTACCTTTTCCAACTCAGTAATGTCAGTTTTCAGATAAGGCACCCAAAACTGTACACTATATTCTAAGCGAGGATATAAATCAAGGATTTGTATAGAGGGAGTACGTAAGATCTTGGCAGTTGTATTTCTGCCTAACATGGGGTTTGCCTGTTTCAGAGCAGCTGCACACTAAGCTGACATTTTCATTCAGCTGTCCACCACCACCCCAAAATCCCTTGCCTACTCATTTGCTACTAGCTCAGATCCCATCCACCTATGCTTAAAGTTTGGATTTTTTGCCTCAGTTTGCATTATACGTCTTATAAGGAGACCCAGTCCAGCCCTGGAATACTTCATTCCTGGGCCTTCTGTTGAATACTACTGCTAGAAACACTGCTGGATATAGCCTAACATTTGTATAACTTTCCAGAGGCATAAGTGGGGTGTCAGGGCAGGGAGAGTCCCTTTCTCCATAGTAACTTGCTCCAACCAGTGAATCTCAGCAGAAGAGCTCTGGATGATTTTTTTGCCTGCTATTTTGCAGGAAAAGATGTCAGAAGTATGTAGAATATTGGAATAGATCTGCATTTTGCACAATATGCAAAACATCCCTCCCATCAACCCTTGGGTATTTATCAATGCATGCAAAGACCGGGGGGGGGGGGGGAAACCAAGTTGACATACCCTTTAAAAGATGCTCGCACTAGTGGCAAAAACTTAGAATCAAATTTTTCATTTGTAAACAGGATCAATACTGGCAGTAGGAGATAAGAAACATTAAATACCTGTGACTTCTCTACAGAAGCTGTGTGTTTGTCACACATTGGGCTGATTTCCATTCCTCTATCCCGTTCCTTGTCTCCCTGCTGGAAAAACTCTTCCATGATTCTGTCTGTCCACTGCCGATAGAGCTCCAGGGATTTCGTGGGATTACTTAAATCAGCGCAATGGACCATATTTCGGAGAACCTGCATTTACAGAACATCTATTGACGGTTCACATAATCAAAATAGTACAACATTTCATCCTGTATTTGCTGCTATATTTGCAAAAATACCCTTATTTTGAACTATTTTATGGAAAATAACTTCATTCAAATTATTTTTACCAAGTTGCAATGCAGTGATAGCTCACTTTATGTCTCTACCATCTTATGCTACCTTTCAGCTAGGGGACCGATTCATCCTGTGACACTGTGTACTGCCAACAGGTCAACCAGTTTTGAAACATATGTTGTAACGTGTGTGTGTGTGTTTGTGTGTGTGTGGCTAAAACACACAAAATAAGAATCTGAGTAACTGTGGCACAAAAAGTTTTATTAGAGACAAGGAATGGTAAAATGGAATTTTGTCTTAATCTTATTTTGAAAAGATACAGAAATTTCAATCCAGGAAAATATTGAAATGGACGTTTCCAATTGCTGCTGCATCATGATCATGATCATAATCAACATCAGCATCAGCATCAGCATCAAATAATTGACAAAGCAGAGAATGATTGGAGTAGGTTCCTGCTTTCAATATTCTTAGCTATCCATCCATTAAAAAGGTTAAGGTAAAGGTTTCCCCTTGACATTAAGTCCAGTCATTCCTGACTCTAGGGGGCGGTGCTCATCTCTGTTTCCTAGCCAAGGGAGTCAGTGTTTGTCTGCAGACCATCTCCGTGGTCATGTGCTCGACATGACTAAACACCGAGTTGCACAGAACGCTGTTGCCTTCCCACCAAAGTGGTACCTTTTTATCTACTTGCATTTGCATGCTTTCAAACTGCAAGGTTGACAGGAGCTGGGACGGAGCAACAGGAACTCACCCCGTTATGCAGATTCGAACCAGCAACGTTTTGATCAACTAGCCCAGCAGCACAGTAGTTTAAACCACTGCACCACCTGCATCCCTTGTCCATCCATTAGCTCAGGCCTATTCCCAGAAGTTGTTGCAGCACAAACAGATGTTCATACTGCAACAGCACAGAGGCATTCAGTCCATTCCTGCTCTAACTCCTTGAAATCTCTCTATAATCTCCTACTAGACTTTTTTCCTCCCAATGATTATCACTGCTCCAGTCATTATTATGCTATACTAGGATCTGTGGACTGCCTTACTTCCCCACCTTGAAAAAGTCCTTTGACACACATGAAGTGCTCCCCCCCTCCACCCAGGAACTAATTAGCTTCTTACTCTGGAGTAAGCATGCAGCATCTGGGACTGCAAGCCCTCCAGGTTGTGAAATTCTAAATTTGATAGGACGCAGTTAGTCCACAGTGACTAACCTTTTCTGCTCTCCTGTCTTGACCTCTATGTAGAAAGATTGGAAAGGGCTTGGAAAGATTTTGTTAAAGCTATTTACGTTCAGATTTAGAAACAAGATCTATGTTTCATGGATCTTCAACTTCAAATTTGCTTATTTACAGAATTGGATTTTTTTTTACCAGAAGCTTGTTCTACATGTGTGAGTTTGCATTTGTGCTAATATGCACTTGCACACATGTACCAATCCTCATTAATTAACTAATATGAATTGGTGCATGTGTGCAAGTGCACATTAATGCAAATTCTTACAAAGTGAAAAACCAATTTGCAAATCCAAGAATCCGCATGACTTGAAAAAAGTCAGCCTGCTGTGTAATCCACAGATAAAATTCGCAGAGCTCTGAACTCATTCATCTATTCCTCTAAGTAAATCATAGTATGCAGTATGTCTTTTTAAAGATGAGTAGCATCAGAGAAAGGGAATCTTCCATACAGACCTGTATTCTGTCTGTGTAGTTATCTAAGAGGAGGACCCCAGAACTGGTCACTTTTTTTGTTTCCACCATAGTTTTTAAGTCTGCCAGAAGAGACATATGTTTGGACATATCTGTTGCCAAAACCTTTAGGAAAGGATAAAGAATTATGATAAATGTGTGGATGGTCATACAGCAGAAGAATAAGCAGCAAGAAAGCGGGGACAACAAATCTGTACCATGTCGATCACCATTTTCCTGAGAGTTTGGCGCTGTTTCTTGGTCAGGTTCTGGAAGATGTCACAGTGCTCTTCTTGTAGTAGCTTAAAACCTACAGCAAGGTGATGATTTTCCAAGACAGACTCATCATTGTACATCAGAGCAAGTTCAGAATCTGTACAGAGAAAAAATATGTGCACAAAAAGAGTATGTGTTCACCATTAAATGTAATGCATTCTTTCCTATTGAAATCCATCTTTGGTACATTAGATACCATGGTTTAAAAGGGGACCATACAGAAACCAAGATAGCATATCAATCTTGACTTCCTGGGGATTGGCGACTCAAATAGCAGTGGCTTGATGCTGCTCTTTCCTATGTGTTGTAAATGAAGGTAATAAATTATCTCCTGAGAAGTTTTTATCTCTCTGACAGGTGTGCATGAAGACTTTGTGTTTACTGCTCTGATAGCATCCAGAGGCAAGATATAGGTAAACTCTAAAGAGCTCAGAGTCTGCCTCCCCCACTTTCTCTTTTGTTCTTCTTTCTTCTCCCCCCATTATTATTCTATTTCATATTGTCTTTCTGCTTTTGCCAAGGGAAAATAATAACATTTCAACTTGTTGCAGTTTAGATTTTAAGACTTTTTTTTCTGTATACTTTAAAGGGACTCTGGAATAGACAATCGGATGATTAACAACATTTTACATACAGGCTGTTTAAAGTTTCTGTTTTAGAACTAAGAATTGTTCTCAACTGACCTTGGCATGAGAATACTAGCTGAGTGTACATTTATGTGGCTTTTTAACTGAAGAATATTTGTGTTTTCTGGACAGCTTAGACTTGAGGCTGAGATTCTTTTTTCCACAAGACATTCCTGTCTGTATGTTTGGAAAAGCCTTTGAAACGGATATTTTTCAATACCTTGTATGAACTGTAATGGAATTTTATTTTGTGATATCACTCAAGAAATTAATCATGGACACTACCAAACAGCTGTGACTGAGGCTTCAGTATGTTGGAGGAGATGGTCTCTCTTTTTCACCATCACCATTTTCTGAGGAGTGGCTGCTTATGTGAGTTGAGAGACTCCTTGTTGCTATTGCTTGACTAATATATGACTTCCTTTAGAAGACAATTGTATCTCCCTATGGCTATGCTTTAGGCTGGGATAGGAGGTATGATCTTTTGGATATGTTTGATCTCTGATCTCCTGTGCTTTTAGCTTTATGAGAATAAAGCCTTGAGGCAGTGATAAAGTGAATTGGAGATCAGCTTCACCTACTGGACCTCGAGAGAAGGGGAGGCTGAGGCACCCTGCTGCAAAAGCAACAATTGAGCAGGTAACAGAGTTCCGTGCACTTCGGTGTTTAGTCATGCCAGCCACATGACCACGGAGACGTTCTGCGGACAAACGCTGGCTCCCTTGGCTAGGAAATGGAGATGAGCACCGCCCCCTAGAGTCAGACATGACTGGACGTAATGTCAAGGGGAAACCTTTACCTTTACCTTTACTATTCAGTAAAAGAACTTATGCAGCCATAGACTGATTTGAAGACCATCAACGCCACTTGTTGGAATAAGTAGATACCAGAGTTCCTTTATATGGAAGTCTTCTTTGAACAAGCTTTCTTTTAACAAACTAATCTCAACTAATATTTTAATAGAAAAAGAATATTACTAATAAGTATAACATCATAGAATGCTGATTAACTGATTTTATCTTTTGCACAATTTTTTCTGGGTCCCTTCTCTTCTTTTTCACTCTCCCTCTCCTTTTTGTTCCCACTTTTCTAAGTTCTCTGGTCTCTCCTCTCTTTTCATTTTTTAAATTCTGTACTGCTTTAGAGGTTTAGTTAAATTGTGAGATTAATTACAGTAATGAAGGAATGTGGAAGTTTGAGTGGAGGTGGAGGAGTATTAATTTGGAAGCAGAAGCCGAATGATATTCCACAGAACTATTGAAAGATAATCTGTGAGTTTTTTAAATGCAAACTAGAGGCAAAATGAAGATCTTATCTATTAATGTCAATGGGATGAACTCCCCCTCTAAATGAACTGAAATTTTTAACTTTTTAAGAAAACAGAGGGCAGATAAAACATGTATTCAAGAAACCTATATAAAGAAAAAAAAATGTTCATATCCACAACTCTAAAAGACTGGGTAAACTTCATGCAGCCTCAGCAGATGCTAAAAAAGAAGGGAGTTGCTATTTATATTAGTAATCAAAGACTAAATGTGATAGAAGAATTTAAAGACCCAAAGGGATGGTTTATTATTTTGAAGATTAGATTTCCGAGTGGGAAAATTAATACATTGGCAGTGATTTATGCACCGAATGATGCAAAAGAAACATTTTATGAAAAATTATTTCAATTGATACTGGATTTTCAAGAAGGAGTACTTTTAATTACTGGTGATATGAATGGAGTTATAGATCTAAACATGGATAAGTTAGTCATTCATTGGAAAGGATGGGATAAAAATGTTTTAAATAAAATAAAATAAAAATAAGTCAATAAAAGCAAGAGGTGATAAAATACCTAAAATGGTTTTTAACTAGATGGAAACGTTGCAGTTGGAAGATGCATGAAGATTTAAAAATTCTGTAGTTAGGGATTACATTTTTTTTCTCTGACAGACATCAGACATATTCAAGGATTGACATGTGCTGGATATCTAAAAAATTATATTATGAATTTAGAAGGAAGTAAAGATTTTATCCAAGATACTTTCTGATCCTAATCCATTGGAGATAATATGATGGGAAGAACAGGTCAGAGGAAGAGACTTAATGATGACCTTTTGCTACAAGACAACATTTTGACAAAGTCAGGAGAAGTACTGCAAAAAATCTTTAGATTAAATAATACAAATGATTGTCTCCATAACCACTATATGGGAAGTCAGTAAAGCTTATATGAGAGGATAGGTTTTAGAAACAGTGTCTAAGGAAAAGAGAGAAGTCTGCACCAAAAAGAAAGAGAGAGAGAGAGAGACTGACTGACTGACTGACTTTTGGAGCAAATTCAAGTGCTAGAGGATCAACATAAAAAGGACCAGGATAAACTATTTTTAACTGAACTCAGAAAATTAAGAAATCAGCCAAATATGTTAGAGACATATGAAGATACAAAAGAAGCTGAGTTGAAACAGAGACATTTTGAACATGCAAATAAACCTGGAAGATATTTAATGTTTTGTCTCAAGAAGGAAGTGGAAAGATCTATTACAGCATTAAGAAGGATAATGGCATAACATATGTGAAAAAGGAAACTCATGAGCAATTTATTGATTTTTTTCTCAAAGCTATATAAAAAAATCAATCCCAGAAGATGGGATGGAGAAGTATATTATTATTATTATTATTATTATTATTATTATTATTATTATTATTGTTAGAACATTTCTATGCCGCCCCTTGCCAGGGCTTGAGAAATGTACTGCGGAGCAGAGGAAAATATTGAATGATACTATTACTATTCAAGAGCTATCAACCATTAGAAGAATTTTATGATAAATGGATATTTTTTATTGTGCTTAGCATGATTAATGAAATTTCAGGGGTGTTAAGAAAAGAAAAAGCAAAGCAGTATCTGTTGATGTATAAAATAATTATTTCTTTTCAGTAAACTCTCATAAGCATGGGAAGATAGAAAGATAATCAGTTTGGGGGGTTGTAATATAGGCTATATCTGTTTAAATTCCCTCAGCTATCTTGTTTATTTTGTTTATCTTGTTCACTTTAGTATGTTCTGTTTATACTAGTTTTTGTCTTCATTCTACATTTTTCTATGTATTTGTATATGTTAAGAAAATATATTTTTTGAAAAAAACAGCATATCATTCTCTTCAGACACTCTGGTTGACAATATGGTTGCTCAACTTAGAAACGATCTCAAGTACACTTGAAAGAAATGATTCCAGAATTAATTAATAAATTTGGCTTCATTTTGGAGTGACTCTCACACTGCAAAAAGTAATGGCAACTTGTTTGGTTAAGTATTGCCTCGATAATTTGTGCTCCACCAACTCTTCAGAAAACCTGTCTGATGTCATTACAAAGTCTTAAGTCAATTGTTTATTCATGTCTTGCACTCCAGCTACTGGAACATGTCTTCATTAACATCGTTTTGGTTCATCTCCATTCCACTTAATATGAGATTGTAGAAAGAGGTTTGCAATATCAGATCAAAGGTCCTTACCTACTTCAGACTATAGCCAGTCTGATACATCCAGCATTAACAGGACTGGAGGTACAGCAGCTTTTCCCTGTTGTTTTACTTCCAGCAACTAATATTTAGAGGCGCACCTGCCTTGGAACCTGAAGGCATCATTTATTTATCCTTCAGTATATTGTCAACCTATGTCAATGTATTTCTTCTCAATCTACTTTAGGACATGCTCCAGATGGAGGTGTTGAGCACCGTCTGAGTAATTAGCTGCTACCATTACACTGCCCATGTGCTACCTTCCTACCCATGTGTTTTCCTCTTTATATTGGCAGAAAATAGCATGGAAAGATGTGCAGTAGCATATGGTTTGTGGATGTCAACTGCATTGATAAATTATACTTAACACTCTCACAGTGTGCTTTTTATAAGCACTTCACAGTGAAACACCATATCATCAGACCATAATGTTAGGAGTCTTGTGCACTCTTCAGGTCTGTATGAAATCTAATAACCATTGTTGTTATTTAAAAAAAAATAAAGTTTGATGAGGAAGATATGCCAGAACTAGTGATACATATATGTGTATTTAGTACATAGATGACTCACTTGTATTAATAAGAAATTGATTGGAGACACCAGGATGATCTACATCATGAATTGCTGCTGCAAAAATGGTTGCAAGAATTTCCAAATCAGTGAAGACAGCCTAGAAGAAAAATAAGCAATAGAGCATCATTATAGGTTAACAAACTACCTGTTTACTCATCAATAGAAACTGAATCATATAGGACAACCCTTGAAACCAAAAATAGCAAAGCAAAAACTGGGATCATCTTATATGCTGATATATATGGTAATAATGTGTGAAACAAGTGACCAGGAAGGATGTTTCAGAAAAATACCCAAACACCAGAAAAATAACCCAAAGCCAACCTCATATTGTTTGCAAGTCACCTTATACAGCACTATATATGGTATATCAAGAAAAAAGAAAGGGAAATTCATGAAGCTGTTGCTGTAGCTATACCAGTGGGCATGAAGACAGAGAGATAGGGAGGGAGAAGCAATCCAGTACATGTACAGTCAACAGTATTAAGAGTTAAACTCTGTGGTGGGGTTGGAGATATCCACAGTTTTCCCACTTGTGCTGGGGTCCTGCACCCCTAATCCCCACAAATGTGGATGGCCACTTGTACTCACATCCAAGGCTGGGGTGGATAGAAGAACATGAGTGGATTGGGCTACATCAGCTGCATGAAGACTGTTGTGGTAAGCTACATCAGAATGGTAGTGATCTTCCAAAGTCATCATGTAAGCTATAAAGGTGTCTGATGAGATCTTGAATGTCTTCAGCAAATCCCTTTCCTGTTTAAGGTAATTTAAATTGCATAAATCATAAAGTTTAAATTTTAAATTGCATAAATTGACACAAGCATAAAAAATTCATTAAGGGGAGGAGTGTGAAGTGAGAACTTTTTAAAAAATGGAGCCATCTGAGTACATATTTATATACATAAATATTTCAGTCTAATCACCAACCTGAAAAATGGCATACATAATGCAGGTGAGAGGTCTACTGTGAGAATATCTTGCAACATTAAATATGTTCAGACCCCATTTATTCAAATCCTCCAGCTCCTGGAGGAAACAACAAGGACAATAAATTAATGACTGTACAATGTACAAAGGGGGAAGCACCATATGCAGGTTAACTCAAATAAAATCCTTTTCAAAACAGTATTTGATCCTGCCTGAAATACTTGAGAGCGGAGGAGCAGAATATCTTTCCAACTGAGAGCCAAATCCATGTTGGAGAAACTTTTGGGAGTTATATTCCAGTGGTTGGTGGTGTCGAAAGAAAGTGGAAGAGGTCACGTTTATCCAAATAGTTGAACTTAAAGATCTTACTGCCAGTAACCAAGCCTTAGGAAAGGCATTTCTTCATTCAGAATGGGAGGAAAATACTTCTCCAATCTGGGAAGCTACCCAATATTCAGTGGCTGGAGCCAGGAAGAAAGTGCATGGCTATTCAGGGAACTGAGGAGGGCCAGACTGGAAGCACAAAATGGCTAGGTCTGAGGTTCTGTGCCCCTGCTTTAAAAGAATGAAATCACAGTAAACTGTTTTATCAATCATTTCTAATATTCTGGGATTAGAGACATTTTTGTTAAGAACATCCATGTCCTAAGTATCTTAATATGGAGCCATCACTATCTCATATCTCTGAAAAGATTTTTGTTGCTGTTGTCACAATTTTAGGGAAGGGACATTCCAAAAAGGAGAAGCAAGGCAGAAATTATACCCTGAAATTAGGAATTCTTTTCAACATGTTATTTCAGTGTTTACTAAAATACATACAGAGAACTTCAGATATTGTGCAGTTCAGAAACAGAATTATGAGGAAAATACTCATATTTAATATTACATAACCATCATGATTGTCATCATCATCATTATAGTAATAGATTATTTTCCTCTGCTGAAATGAGAATTGACTATTTCAAATTTTTGTTAGTATGAGAAGATTGTCTCAGGTTTGAAACAAGAATGCTTGAGTGCTCAGCATTTAACACTGTGCTAAAGCATGTTTCTCCTGAATCTACATCTTTCACAGAAAGATCAGTATATAGTGAGTCATACTTGCCTTGGCTAGATGGTCTTCCTTTTCTGTTTTCACACCAAATCTTGAAATACTAGTATTATTCAAGCTTGAACTGTGCATTAACTTTTTCACACCACTGATCTGTGTCATGAGTTGTTTTTTCTTTTTCTCTCGGTCCTTCTGTGTGGGAGAGGGAATTTCCACATCATTCTGCTTGTCTGTGTAGGAAAAAGAAAAACATTACTTTGTAACATTTATTAAACATACTGAGTTGAAGAGCTGTTTCTACTCACATAAGGCACCAGAAGCCAGTGGAGCCTGCCCGCTGGATCACAGGGAGGCAATTTTCACCAGGGATATACAGATTTTGTTAAACCCATTCTGTCTCTGTTTTGAAGACCGTCACATGCCTTTTGTTCGTCTACTTATGGATGGATGGGGGGTTGTTTGTTTGTTTGTTTGTTTATTAGGAATGTATGAGAATGTCATTTCACTTGCAAAGTGCATATTAGTGCAAGTACAAATTTGTGCAATTACTCTCTCCCCTGGAAGAAGAGGAAGAGGAAGAGGAGGAGGCAGCACAACTCTGGCAGAATTCACAGGCTGGATCCACAGAAATTCAAAGTCATTTGAATCAGTTACAGAGTTTGCCAGCATTCTTGATCTTCACCAATTCCTCTTATTCCCCCGCAGTTCTCTGTGTTGCATGTTATGCTGCTCTGAATGGTATCTAGACAGCCAGAGCAGTTTTTCAAGAGGCATAGTAGGTTGAAGGGGAAAAGAAGAAGGAATCCTCAAGCTCATATCTGTCCGTCCATCCAACCATTCAATGTAATTATATATATATTTGCCTTTAAGAGTGGAACCCTCAGAAGGAGGTGTGGAACTCTCACTGAACTCTTCCTCCAGCATGTAAGAAGAACCTCCGTAGGAAATGGGCAATGAGGCAAATAGGCAAAGGAGTATACCAGGAGGAAGAAGGTCATTACTGAAGGATGCTTCACAAGGCTAAGGATGATTATGAGCTGAGACCTGCAAAGAATATCAGGAGCAGCAAAAGGGGCATCTATCGACATGTAAATAGCAAGAGGGAGAGGAGACAAGTGGTGGGACCGCTTAATAAGGAGGAAGAGGATTTGGTGACGGATGTGAGGGAACAGGCAGAAATGCTAAATGATTATTTTGCCTCTGTGTTCTCCCCAAAGCAGGACAGGAGAGATCTACGTGGGGATGGGGGCAGATGAGGCTGAGGATTTAGGGTCACAGATTAGAGTCACCCCCCTAGAAGTTGAGGAGCTCCTCAGGGCACTGGATGTTACAAAGGCGCTGGGTCCTGATTGGTTACACACAAGGGAACTTCAGGAGTACTCACGCACCGGTTGGCCTCTTTTGAGGCCTTGTGGAGAATGGGAGAGGTTCCAGAGTACTGGACGGTGGTGTCAGTGGTCCCAGTCTTCAAAAAGAGTAGTAGAGGGAACATGGGGAATTGCAGGCCAGTTAGCTTTATGTCCATTCTGGGGAAGACGATGCAAATAGGGAAATAATAGGGAAAATCTAGTAACCCTAGATAGGAAAGGGAGGTTGGCAGTCACACAACACGGCTTCTGCAAAAACAGGTCCTCCCAGCCAAACCTTGTGGAATTCTATGACAAGGTTTCAAGGTGGCTAGAATGAGGGGATGCAGTGGATATGGTTTACCGGGATTTCAGCAAGGCCTTTGACAAAGTGCCCCATGATATCCTGGTTGAGAAATTGTGGAGTTTTGAGATAGACCAATGCACTGTCCGATGGATTAGGGCATGGTTGACTGACTGAAAGCAGAGGGTAGCCATTAGTGGGGAATCATCAGGCTGGCAGCCAGTGACAAGTGGGGTCTCCCAGGGCTCTGTCCTGGGGCCGATCCTGTTTAATCTTTTCATTAACGACATGGAAGAAGGGGTGAACAGTCTGCTGATCAAATTCGCAGACGACACTAAAACTGGAGCAGTGGCCACAACTGAGGAGCAGGTACTCCAAATCTAAAAGGATCTGGACAGGCTATAGAAGTGGGCAGGGGACAACAGAATGGCGTTCAATGCAGATAAGTGCAAGGTCTTGCACTTGGGGTATAGGACTGGGTGTCATAAGTACAGGTTAAGGGACAAGCTGCTGGAGACCAGCACTTGTGAAAGGGATCTTGGGGGAATGGTTGACTGCAGGTTAAACATGAGTCAGCAGCATGACACAGTGGTCAAGAGGGAGAATGCTACCATGGGATGTATAGCCAGAAGTGCCTCTAGATTGAGAAAGACATTACTGCCACTCTATACGACTCTGGGCTCCACATTACAGGAAAGATCTAACCAGGTTGGAATTGGTGCAGTGTAGGGCCATGGTGGTCAGATTGCAGGGAAAGCTGTATGAGGTGAGACTGAGAGAACTGGGTCTTTTCAGCCTGAAGAAGAGGAGACTCCAAGGGAATCTGTTGGCAACAAATAGGTACATGAGGGAGTGTCTTGCGGAGGTGGGTCAAGACCTGTTTTTCCCTGAGGAGGAAGGCGGAACACATTCCAATGGAGCAAATTCAAGGAAAGGCAGGTAGCTTACCTGTAACTGTTCTTCGATTGGTCATCTGTATATCCACACATATGGACTTCACCAAGGAGCACAAGGCCTAGATTGGAAAGAAACTTCCAGAGCTCAGCTTCATGGAGTGGGCAGGGGACACCCGCTCGCCCCCTCCAGAGGCCTGGATAAAGGGAAGGTGCTCCTGCCCATACCTTCAGTTGCCTTGAAGACCACAACAGTCCAGGCATGGGAGGGTGTCAAACATAGCAGAAGAAAGGAGGTGGCCCCAGTGAGAATGAAGGCTGCACCAGGATGACAACAGCCAAAGGAGCCAAGGGTGAGTTGTATGAATGCACAGATGACCCCTTGAAGAACAACAGTTACAGGTAAGCAACCTGTCTTTCTTCTTTGTGGTCTCTGTGCATCTCACATATGGGCAGCTAGCAAGCTTACCCTTCTTGGAGAAGGGGCTGTTGTCACTGGAGAAATGGAGAGAGGAATGCCCTACCAAATGTGCATTCTTACGTGGCGTGGATGTCTAGCCAGTGGTGGCGAATGAAAGTCAACAGCATGGACCATGTAGTGGCTCTGCACATTTCATGCAGGGGGATGCTGGCTAGCAGGGCAGTAGACAAAGTTTGTGCCCATGTGGAGTGCACACAAGGATGTGCTGGAAGCTCTAGTTTTGCCATCATGTAGGCCAGGGGAGTAGTGCCAGACACCCACTTGGAAAGTCTCTGGATTGAGACAGGTTGCCCTGTATTCTGACCTGTGTAGCACACAAATAGGCAGTTGGAGCAATGCAGTGGTTTGGTGAGAGCTTTGTAGAAGGTGAGGGCCCTGAGTACATTGAGGAGGTGCAGTGTAGACTTGATTGAGGTGGCAGGGCTGGGGAAGAAGGCTGGGAAGTTGATGTCTTGACTGATGTGGAAAAAGGAAATGGCCTTTGGTATGAAGTGAGGGTCTGCACAGAGGATCACCTTATCTTCTATGGAAGGTCAGGAAGAGGGGTAGGGTCGACTCGTAGCATTGCTAACTCACTGGTGTGGTGGACACATATTATGGCCATCAGGAACACCATCTTTCAGGACAGGAGGCAAAGGTCCGACATTGCCATGGGCTCAAAGGGTTTCCTTGTGAGGGATTGAAGGACCATGGAAAGACTCCAGGAGGGGTTGCACAACCAGATTGATGAGGTGAGGTTCTGGAGACCTCAAAGGTACTGATAAGCTAGGGGGTGTGCAAAGATGGAGGATGCCTGTACCAGTCGGTGGAAATGTAAGATGGCCACCAGGTGGACCTGTAAGGAGGATGGGGAAAGGCCTGGGCTGAAACTGGTCTGGAGGCGGGAAAGAATGTGCTCCATAGAAGTGTGGAAGGGGTCAAGTCCTTGTGTCGCAGAGAATGTGGTGAAGGCCCTCCACTTTGCCTGGTAGGACTTGTGGGTGGAGGGTTTGAGTGCAGCATGGAAGATGGAGGCATCCTCAGTGGGGAAAGAGCGATTAGAGTCTGTTACCTGGCAATCCTCCAAGTGGTGAGGCACAGAGTCCTGACATTGGGATGTAGCACCTAGTGCAGCTAGAGGAAGGTGTGGCCAGAAAGGTGGAGTAAGAGGGAAAGCCATGGCTGTCTTGGCCACCATGAGGTGATCAAGATGCAGTCTGTCTCATCTCTCTGGATCTTGGCGATGACCCTGATTATTAGTGGAAGGGGTGGGAAAGTGTAGAATAGGGTTACCTCCCATTTCAGGAGGAAAGCATCACCCAGGGATGCAGTTCTCTGGCCCACCCTGGAACAGAACTGCTCACACTTCTGGGGGGTGGTGAAGAGGTCCACCTCAGGAGGGCCCCATCTCTTGCATAGAATGTGAAACACAAAGGCCTTGAGTTCCCTTTCATGTGGGATGGTGGTGCAGCAGCTCAGGGTGTCTACCAGGGTGTTGAGGTGACCTGCCATGTGGATGGCGGTGATGATGATGTCCCTCTCAAGGCACCATTCCCAGATGGTGGACGTGAGGGTTGACAGTTCCACCTTGTCTGTTCAGATAGCACGTGGCATGGTGTTGCCTGTGGCTATCTGAATGTTAGGGAGGTTTGGAAGGATACAAGGGCTTTGCACATCACCAGCATCTCGAGGAGGTTGCTGTGAAGATGCAACTCATGCAGGGCCCAGATGCCCTGCACATGCATGTCTGCACAGTTAGTGCCCCAGCCTGTGTTTGAGGCATCGATCGTGACCCTTATGGAGGGCTCTGGAGGGGAGAAGGGGATCCCAGTGGTGAGGTTGTCAATGTCACCCCACCAGTGCTGGAGGAGAGGACAGAATGGTGGCATGGGCATCTTCCTCTGTGACGAAGGCTTCCACAAACCAAAGCTGGAGGGGTCTCATCCAGAGCTGTAGGAGTTGCAGCACCAACAAGGTGGTGGCCATGAGGCCTAGAAATCTCTGGATGGTGTGGGTGGTAAAGAACATCGTGGTCCTGATGGACATGACCAATGAGGTATGAGCTTCTCCTCATGCCTGCAGGAGGAATAACCTGGTGGGAATAGAGTCCAGGTGAGTCCCTATGAAGAGGATGGACTGTGTAGGGGAGAGAGCATATTTGCCATTGTTGATAAGAAATCCCAGATCCTACAGGAGGCTTTACATGGTCTGGAGCCCTTGCAGAAGGTCCTCCCTAGAAGAGGCTCTCAGGAGCCAGTCACTCAGGTATGGGAAGACCTAGATGCCCTGGGATGTAAGGTGGATGCAGACCACTGCCATACATTTGGTGAAGATCTGTGGGGTGGTAGTCAGGCCAAAGGGGAGGACAGGGAATTAGAAAGCCTCATGGCCAATGTGGAACTGGAAAAAGTGCCTATAAGCTTGGTGGATTGTTATGTGAAAGTAGGTATCCTTGAAGTTATGGAGACAAACCAGTCCCTTTGTCTAAGCAGGCAGAGGATACCTTGCAGGGTGACCATCCTGAACCTCTTGGGTGTTATGCACTTGTTGACGCCCCAGAGATACAGTATTGGTCTGAAGGTCCATGGAGAGCCATTCTATTGCTCCTTTGGACAGCAAGGCCTCAAGCTGTTGAATAGATTCTGTACCCTTATTGGATTATGGCCAGGACCCAGAAGTCTGAGGTGATGGACTCCCAGACTGAGAGGAACTGAGCCAGTTGGTGTGTGAAATTGTGTGGTGGGGAGGGGATAGTAGAAAGGGGCAGTCTGGACCTGAACTTCAGTGCCTGTGCCTGATGTCTTGGCACTTGGGCAGGAACCTTTGGTGTGGCTGGGTATCATGCCTTTTGGCGGGGGGACTAGCTCTCTGGGCCAGAAGGGGTGATCGAAGAGTGAACAGTGGCTAGAACTGGAGGAGGTCCCTTGCCATTTATGCTGCAGTGTCTGGTGTGTGAAGCCCATGCATCTAGCAGTGGTGTTTGCTTTGTGGAGACTGCCCATGCTCTCACTGGTGTGCACATTAAAGAGGCCCTCTACATCGAAGGGCAGATCCTTGATGCAGGCCCATGTCTCTTGGAGGAGGTTTGTGGATCTAAGCCAGGCATGGTGGCATATGGCTACTGCTGCCTTCATTGCCTTGCCATTACAGCCCACATTGTGTCCTCAGTCAGAAATCTGGCCAGGGTTTCTGCCTCAGTGTGGAACAGGTGGGCAGCATTGTGGAGAAAATGGGAGCTCTGCTATGGCCCCCATTTTCTCCCATAAAGAGAGCTGGCATCTGGCCATGGTGGCTTCATAGTTGGAGGCACAGATGCCCAGGAAGGAAGCTGTGTACCCCCTCTTAGCCAGGCCATCAAGGTGGCATCCTTCCTTGTCTGCTGGCATGGACTGGACCCTTTGTGAGGTTCCCTTCATGGACTCAACTATAACTGAACTGGGCCTGGGATGCTGATGGAGGAAGGACAGGGATTTGTCTGCCCACTTGTAGGTGGACTTGACCTTATGTGAAGTGGACAAGGCCAATATAGGGACTTTCCAGGATTGCTGGGCTATATGGAGTAGGCAGGCAGGAGATGAATACACACCGTGATAGAGTGTGCTGAGGACAAGGCCCTGAAGACAGAATCTGTCTTGGGCTTTGCTGGGTGTGAGGCCTGTAGGCCCAGGTCATCCAACATGCGAAAGATCAAATCAGCAAACCTCCCTCTCCCTCCAGGTGACATGGATGGATTGTGCTCTGGGGCTTGGACATCCGGAGAATGGGGAGGTGAGTTCAGGGACCACAACCTTGGCAAGAAGCGGGAGAGACTCTGACCTGGATGAAGATCTGCAGTGGTCACGTGTCATAGGCCCTTGACACACTGAGGAGTGGTGCTGTCGTGGCTGCAGAGGGCTGGAGGAGTGGCAGTGTTGGTCATCCTGGCTGCAGAGCTGCCTGGCAGTACAGTTCCGTGTTGAGGTAAGAAGGGTCCAGCCGGGTTGTCAAGGCAGCAGCGGCAGTGACACGGAGATGGTGGCCTAGGGAAGCCTTGATTGATGGAGGAGGCAGAGGAGTTGGGGTCCTCTCAGTCAGACCGTAATTTAGACACTGAGGTCTCCTGACCACAGGGGGGGAGGGGGTCCCAGACCTCCAACAAGCCTGTCGAGCATGTGGACACTGGGGACCACGATGAGGAGCCATCCCAGTTGGGGAAGGAGAAACAGGGGGATCCCTACAGTCCTGCAGCAGTCTGGCCTCAAGCTGCAGTTGGCATTGGTGAGTGGGAGAAACTGCTGGCCAGCAAGGCAGGCAGCACGGGTGACAGGTTGTGTGAGGGGGGGTGAGTGTTGCAGAGGCAAGCGCTCTGGGTCCGGTGATCTGGCATGCTCCTGGGGGGAGCCTGGCTGTGGGGGTGCAGTAGTTCCCTCCAGGGGAACCCTGGGATCCGGGGTGAGTGGACAACTGAAGAGGGATGAGGCATCCAGAGCTTTGGTGTGCTTGGTGGTGTGGCAATTCTTGCACTTGGCAGACAAAGCTCCTGTAGGTTCCTCGGTGGGGGTGGGGGGCACAGTGGCATTGGCGGCCCTCTTTTTTGCATGCTTTGGTGGAAATGCATTTTCTTCAGTGGAGAAAGGCTTATCAGCCTCTGATTTTGAAGACTTGGAGATGCTCAGAGCATGCTGCCAGAGGGCAAGCTTGAGATGATCTGCCTGCTGCTGGTGAGTTTACCTTTTAAAAGCCTGGCAATGTGGGCAGGTCTCCACAATGTGCCACTCACCGAGGTGAAGAAGGCAGCATGAATGGGCGTCTGCGGCTGGAAGGGGAGCGGCACATGAGGCGCAGCAGCAAAAAGCCAGGTTGGCCTTGCTGTCAGTAAAAAGGCGCACGAGGAGGAGAGGAGGGGGGGGGGCAGTTTTCTTCTCTCCTTTAGGGAAGAAGTGGGTGAGGGAGATTGGTCCTGGAAGGGGACAATAGATTAAGGAGAAAATAATCTCAGGATTAAAGTAGGAGAAAAATACAAGGGAACTTTATAAACAGGATATTAGGAAAAAAATACTTATTTTTAATATACCGAGGGGGAGAAAGAGAAAGAGAGAAAAAGTCAGCAAAGCAGTGGAAGGTTCCGATAACAATGAGACTGCAACTGCAGTCAAAAAGGAACTGAGGGGGACTGCAGTTGAAAAGGAACTGAGGGGGTGGGTGGGCCCCCCTCCCGTTATCCGGGCTTCTGGAGGGGCTGGGGTGGGTGCCCACTCCATGATGCTGAGCTCTGGAAGTTTCTTTCTGATCTAGGCTTTGCCACAGAGCCATATGTGTGATGCACAGAGACCACAAAGAAGAACCAAGGTTCAATTGGACACCAGGAAATAGTTCCTGACAGTTAGGACCCCTAGGGTATGCAATAGACTTCCATGGAGGTGGTTGATGCCCCATCGGTGAGGGAGTTCAAGAATAGGCCAGACATGCACATGGTCATGAGCAGAGCTGGCTGGAGCTGGAGGTCAGACTAGATGGCCCAGGAAACCCCTTCTGACTCACTCTGTTTCTCTGTTTCTGTGCTTCTAAGAATAAGCATCCTGAGTTTGACAGCTTATTATGTTTAATATGTATTCTTCAGTTTAACTGCAAGTACCTGCTTACTCAAAATGATGTAAATAGTTTAATTGCTCTGTAACATTTTGATATTGTGCAGTAATTCCTTTAAATCAAGACAATAATTACTATTTCTGTCACAAACTTTTAAAATATTTTCTAATCAAAGTTGAAGCTATATAATGGAAGTCATTAGTAGTGGTACAAAAGATGCTAGAAATCCTTAAACTAGTTAAATAACACTGAAAATGTTAACCTGGAGATATTAATATTATTTGTTCAGTACATATTTTGTTTAAGTAAATGAACCTCATTAATAACTGGGCAAATTGGTGGGTCAAAGTATCTAGGTATCCAGTATCTGTGCCCATACCTAACATAATCCATTAAAGACAAATAAGTTATATTTTTATATTTGTTGTAAAACAAGGAAGAATCACTATATATCGCAAATTGATTTGATATGAAAGCCCTTCCTTCCATTATCTTTGCTATCTCCTAAGGATAGTAGAATAAGGTGTATCTATGGGAGGGAGAAGGGTGTCTGTGTATATATTTAGTAGGGGGGAGTGTGCACATGTGTATGTGCAGGAAATATGAATGAGTGTAATAAGTGTGTGAATGAAAGTGTGAGAGTGTGGATGAATATGCATGTGTGCATACAATGTGACAGATCCCTGGCATCCCAACAGATACCCCAAGGGACCACAGAAACACCTGATTTTCAGACATTGAAATTATACTGACAATTTATGGGTCAGTCAGAAAGGATACATTTGGCTAACAGGAGAAACAGCAACAGTTTTGAGGAAAGGGCTTTTGGCTATGGAAAGAGTATTATGATGCCAGTGCTTTGCAGTGTTTTCTGTTATACAGAGAAAAACAATTAAAATAAGAACATAAGAAAAAGAAATGACTGTATTCAGCACAGAAATCAGGTAAAGAAGTTACGGAAGCAAACAAACAGGGCTGATTAAGATTTGTGAAGTGGGCTTCCATTCAGTTCTAACCACTGAAGTGGCCCTGGCATGCCTTTGAAAGTTTAGCCTTCATAACATGCCACAATGACCAGCCCTAGGCTGGCACAGGCACCTGAGAAGACAAAGAGGATATTGTCTAGCAAGCACATGCTTCTCTCTAATGCTTCCAGAATCGTGGACAGCATGAATAGCTGCTAAGCAATAGTCAGCTATATTTGTCAGTTACATCCATTACCCACAATTAGACTCTTCTCATATCTCTACATGTTGGGCGGTGATGGTGGAATTAACTTTGACATGGAATCTAATGCCATATCATATTGTTCCCTTGGTGTTAATGGGATCCTATATGGCTTTGCTATATGCACTAGAGCTTCCTTAGACACAGCATTTCAATAGACTGGAGACTCAGGTCCACTGAGTTTTTGAAGCAGTGTGTTGAGTGGCATAGTGAACTGGGAGTGGAAGAGAAGCCTTGTAAAAGACATCTATACCTATAGGAAAACCTGCCAGTAATGGCCACATTTTTAAAAATCTTATTTATGTGGATTCAGATGTGAGTGCAGTATTTCATATCTTACCTAGGAAGGTGTTTGAAATATATTCAGACACCTGATTGCCTGATCGGCTCATTTCTGAAAGGTGTGTCAGTTCCCGGTTGAGCATTCTCTTGAACTGTTGGTAATCAGAAAATAAAAATCAGACTGTCAATTTTTCTGAGTAGTGAATGCATAAAATCACATACAATGCTAACAATAATTAGGTATTAACAGCTGTAATAAGAGTCAGTTGAACAGTATCATGTAAGATGGCTCTTGGCAGAACAGTAGAGGCTAAGAGAGTGTGCAGAGAGTGGCCAGGGAACTGGCAAAGGCAAGGTAGGAGCTGGGCAAAGAATGGGGGGGAGGGGGCAGGAGCAGCAGAGAGAAAGGAAGGTGGGGCCAGAGAGCCCAGGAGGAAGCAGAGGAGTGGGGCCAGCAGCCCCTGAGGCTCATTGGACCACACCCAGCCATTGGGCGTCATTCCTTGTCTGCGTCCCTTAGCTGCGGTCCGGGCTTCCTGAGGACTCTCTTCCCCTAGGTCATTGTTTGTTTGCATTTTTTATAAATGCTTGTAATTATTACTCTGTCTGGGAGAACTGGGTGAGTAAAGTCAGGAAAGGGAAGTGTAGGGACAGACACAGTGGAGTACAGACAAGGCAGGGGAAGAAGGTAGGGACTGCAAGGGGTGCCCTATGTCAGGCCAGCAGATGGCCTTGGGGGAAATCATAGGTGTTGCTGTCCGCTGTGACATGTTTGCCATTCTCTCTCAAGACGGGGGGGGGGGGGCATCCTTGACTTGGTCTCGACTAACAGGGAGGAGCTGATAGATGAGGTACAGATTAGAGGACCTCTGGATGCAAGTGACCACTCCATCCTTTGCTTTGAGATCAGGGAAATGGGGACATGCAGCAGGTTGAGCACTAGAAGCTGGGACTTCAAGAGGGCCAACTTTGGCCAACTTAAGACCAGACTGGGGAAAGTCTCCTGGGATAGGTTACTGGAAGGCAAGGGAGTTGAGGAGGAGTGGATGGCACTCAAAAGGGAGGTTTTGGAGGCACAAGCCTTAACGATACCTCTAGTTAGTAAGGCAGGGAGGCAAGGGGGGCACCATGGATGTGAAAGGAGGTGGTTAGAGGGAATAGATGCAAGAGGAACCTCCACAGGAAATGGGTACTGGGGCAAAAAGACAAAAGGGTATACCAGGAGGAAGAGCCCGTTGCAGAAGGATTCTTCCCAAGGCTAAGGCTGATTATGAACTGAGACTTGCAAATAATATCAAGAGCAACAAAAAGGGCTTCTATGAGCATGTAAATAGCAAAAAGAAGGAGAGACAGGTAGTGGGACTGCTAAATAAGGAGGAAGGGGATCCAGTGACTGATACAAGAGAACAGGCACAGATGCTAAATGACTATTTTGCCTCTGTGTTCTCCCCAAAGCAGGACGGGGGAGATTGGCATGGGAGATTAGATGAGGCCAGGGACTTAGGGGCACAGATTAGAGTCAACCCCTAGAAGTCAAGGGGCTCCTCAGGGCACTGGATGTTACAAAGGCACCAAATCCTGACAGGTTACACCCAAGAGTACTTCGAGAGTTGGCAGGTGTTCTCTCACGCCCACTGGCCTCCATTTTTAAGGCCTCATGGAGAACTGGTGAAACTCCAGAGGACTGGAGGGCAGTGTCAGTGGCCCCAATGTTCAAAAAGTGTAGTAGAAGGGACATGGGGAATTACAGACTAGTTAGCCTTCTGTCCATTGTAGTAAAAGGAAAGGCTCATAACAGTGAGAGATCTAGTGATGCTAGATAGGGAAGGGAGGCTGGCAGCCACACAACACGGTTTCCGCAAAAACAGGTCCTGCCAGACAAACCTTGTAGAATTCTACAACAAGATTTTGAGGTGGCTAGATGGAGGGGATGCAGTGGATGTGGTTTACCTGGATTTCAGCAAAGCCTTTGACAAAGTGCCCTGTGATATCCTGGTTGAGAAACTGAGGAGTTTTGGGATAGACTGAAACACTGTCCGGTGGATTAGGGCATGGTTGACAGACCAAAAGCAGAGGGTAACAATTAGTGGGGAATCATTTGGATGGCAGCCAATGATAAGTGGGATACCCTAGGGCTCTGTCCTAAGGCCCATCCTGTTTAATCTTTTCATCAACAACATGGAAGAAGGGGTGAACAGTCTGCTGATCAAATTTGCAGATGATACTAAAACCTGGGCAGTGGCCACAACTGAGGAGCAGGTACTTCAGATCCAAAAGGAACTGGACAGACTATGGAAGTGGGCAGGAGACAACAGGATGGCGTTCAATGCAGATAAGTGCAAGGTCTTGCACTTGGGGCATAAGAATTGGTGTCATAAGTACAGGTTAGGGGACAAGTGGCTGGAGAACAGCACTTGTGAAAGGGATCTTGGGGTGCTGGTTGACTACAGGCTAAGCATGAATCAGCAGTGTGATGTGACGGTCAAGAGGGTGAATGCCACCCTTGCTTATATAGTCAGAAGCATGACTTCTAGATCGAGAGACGTATTACCACTATACGATTCTGGTGTCCTGCAACTGGAATATTGTGTTCAGTTCTGGGTTCTACATTACAGGAAGGATATGGCCAGGTTAGAATCAGTGTAGCATAGGGCCAATAGGATGGTGGCTGGATTACAGGGACAGCCCTATGAGGCGAGATTGAGGGAACTGGGTCTTTTCAGCCCAGAGAAGACTTTGAGGGGATCTGTTGGTGACATACAGGTATGTGAGGGGGTGTCGCACAGAGGTGGATAGAGGCCTGTTCTCCCCTGCAAAGGAGGGCAGGACATGTTCCAATGGAGCAAAGCTCACAGAACCAAGGTTCAATTTGGATGTCAGGAAGTACTTCTTGACCCTAGGGTACGGAATGGGCTTCCATAGGAGTTGGTGGAATCCCCATCAGTGAGGGTGTTTAAGGATAAGCTGGACATGCACAGGGATCAGACTAGATGGTCCAGGAGGCTCCTTCTGACTCGCTCTGTTTCTGTGGTTTATATTTCTAGTATAAATTACACACATGAGATATATTTTCTAGATCACATGGCAGAATTTGTGTATAACACTGTCAGTTTAATGTTAGGAGAAAGTACAAAGCAGACAAATAGTTTTTATATAATTCTGGGAAACTATTCTTGTAAAGCATGCTTCAATTTCATGAAGTTTTATCATGTAGTACCTAACTGATTTTCCACATAAAATATAAAGACAATTCAAAGTATTGAAAGTTCTGACAAACATGTTATGTTAAAACAACATTTGGTTAGATTATTACATTCCATTTATACCGAATGTGATTTCTGCAGATGAATATACAAGGTACATGCCATTCCATTAATTCCATGCCAGTCTAACAGTTTCTTGCCATTCTATTTGTATGTCAAATTATGCTGTGCTCTGAATCACTTTGGTCTTTGTACTCTCTTTCTGACTACAGTAATAGCTGTACAAACATCATACATATATAAAGAGAACACAATTGAATTATACTGTCCACTTGTTATTATTCAAACCCACCTTGATGTACCTCCATGACACAGAAAATAAATAGCTTGCCTCAGGCATTTTTAGATGACTCTGCATGACAAAAGCAGCAAATCCCCTCTGAAGAAATTGTAGGTAAGAGGAAGAACTCTTCACTGACAAGGATACCCCTATTAGTTTTCCAGTCAAGGAAAAGATATTTGTAAGAGTCTAAAATTCCATTAATCTCAGGCTACTGGCTACTCCAGGACAACACTAAGATTTGTATTTCAATTTTGCAAAAGGACTGTAATGCTGGAATTTTTGATGGCATAACACAAAGCATAGAAGGAGTGAGAGTTAATCCTAATGTTTCCAGAGAGTTGCCTTGAAGCACTTATGAATTATGAATAAACTTGGTGCTTAAGGACTGAAGGGCTATCCCATGCCAAATTAGTATTCCTTAGCTGAAAGTGAAGAATTGACCCTGCCAATTGCTTTTGCAGATATTTCTGGCTTTAGCACTACAGCCATCCATGCATATTCAAACAATTCAGAAGAAGGCAACCAATTCTTCTTACAAGCACACAATTGCCCTTCTGGAAAATCCCCTTTTACTCATTCACTCCAGTTTTTAATGTCAACATTTGCATTTTTATTTTTTGTTAAGAACCCCCTCCTTCTCCATTAAATGGTTGCAATCCAACTTGTGAATTTCTCCACATGTTAAAACTCTAGAGAGAAAATATGTGTATGTATATACATGTGTGGGCACATTAGCATGTAAAAAACCTGTGCTCAAAAACATGCACATGAGCAACATCAAATAGGCTTAACATCTAGAACAGACAGCAAATGTTGTATGTATGTCATATGTGCAGATCAAATGTAAGATTGCTTCCTTTTTTAAAGAGGTAGTTATTCAGAACCTCCATTTCATTCAGAATATTAGAGTTTTGCATGACATGTTGGGCTTCAAAGGAACTAGCTCATTCAAAAGCAGTATTTTATGTTTATGTCAACAGAATAATCTAAATCATTCTGTACAACTACAGTGAAATATGTCAGGATTAAATAAATGCTGCTAGTGCTATGTGCATCCCCTTACTGTATTTTTAGGAACCTAAAAATAAATGTGAGTATACAAATATTTATGTTTCTTATGTTATTTTATAATATGAAGCTCTAGTTGGTCATCACTTTTTACTCTTCAAGAGCTGGGCAAGAGAAGATTATGGTACCATGGTAACCATACCATATGACAACCAGTTTTCTTTGTTGTGAGTTTTTCCCTCTGATTACTTTCATGCAGCCATAATGGCCTTAGTACTGGAATTTCAAAGATGCAAATTTGAAGAGGATTTCTGAGATCTAACGAGGAAGTTATAACAATATAAAATCCCTTTCTCTTAAGACAAAATTGCTATGCTATTTATAATAGCATCTCCCAGAAAATTATTATTCTATTTTTCTACTACTCAGTATCGCAGACCTCAGTATGTAATCTCATGATTGATAGCATGACAGAACATAAATGCACTGCAATGTCTAAATTGGGGTATGGCTTTGTCTTAAGGAGATTCAGATGTGGCAATTAACAAGACAGAATGCTTATGTTTATGTCTTTTATCGATCCATACATTCATATCCA